TTATTCATTTCCAGTATAGATTGGTCTTGGGCAAGTAATATCTTTGTATTCATCTTTCACAAATGGGCGAATATTATGATAAAGGTATTCTTGTCTTTTGTAATCCAAAGGAGGTGGTGTTAACACTAAAATAGATAAAGATTTAATCTCTTCAAAAATATCTGCTTTCTTAGTTTTCAATAAATTGAGTTCAGTAAAAGGTCCGTTAGCAACTTCTTGAACTTTCACTGTACCAAAATCGGTTGCTTCAAAAAGAAAATGTTGAAATTTCTGGATGCTTGGTAATTTCTTAAAATAAATTCCCAAAATAGCTTTAATATCTAAGTATTGAAAGCCTTTTCCACCTTCATAACATTGAGCTTTATTTAAACCTGCTGGACTAGACTTTTTTACTACTGAAACCACATGATCCAGACAATCTACTCTTGTTCTTCTATAGAGTTTTTTAATCAATCCAAAACTACCATCACATTTGAATTTGGTATGTCCTGGAACCATGAAATTCAATTCAATTCTTTCATAATATCCACAAATTACTAAATATAAATAAAACCAAATTGTTACATTGTTTTTATTTTGTCCCCCAGCATTATCACAAGTAATCTTTAAATGCTTTTCACCTTTATTCAATTTCTTAATTCCATCAAAAATCAAACTAAGAGTTCCATTAGGACCTTTTCCTATAATTTCATCTTCATTAAGAACATAATTAATTTGCTCCCTTACTGCTTCATCTTGAATACCAAATAAATGAACTTTACGTGGACTGAGATAATATATTTTACTTACTTGTTGATCTAAATGTGGCGCATGAACATTTTGGCTCAATCATAACTATAATGAGCAGTAGCATCAATGTTGCAATATTGTGTTTTACCCTTTGAATAATTTTGATAAACTAATTTTCTTTGTTCTTCTGCTAATTTGGTATTTTTATTATAATAATTTCTTTCTACTTTGGCCTTGGACAAATGTTCTTTAAATCTTTTGAGCAAATCTTTGGCTTCTTCCTCTTGGCGAGCATTATAATGTAAACCATCTCTAAAATGCTGGCAAGTATCACACAAGTCAGTTCTTGGACTCATAATTTGAATCTCTGGTGTCAATTGATGTCATAATTTTCTGAATGCATCATATTTTAAGGATTTTAATTTGTTATCTTCTTCTAAACCAGCTAGAAAATCTCTGTGGACTGATTTATAACTCATTTCAGCTGGTAAGAATACAATTGATTGAGTTATTCTATAGATACTTCTTCCTGGACTTGGTAATCCATGGACTTCTGCATAATTTTCCAGAAAAATCTTTACTACTTCAGCAACATTTTTATCAATCACCATTTTAGTTTTCCATTGAGGCATTCTTTTAATATTACCATGAATTCTTGGCAGGAGACCATTGTTTATCAGATGATTCCTGATATTTTCAAAATAAGCCCTACCAATTCCTAACATATTGAAATAAGTTTCTTGACAAAGAAGTGTATTGTGGTCCCAGTGATAGAAAGTTCTTTTATTAGATCTAGTTTTCTTCTTAAAGCATCTACTAGTGCTTATTGACCCACCATCCATTGCTTTAAGTTGAGCCATTAAAAATATGTCTTGTTCAGACTTAGAAAGAGCTTGAAAGGATTCCCTTAATTCTGCAAATCCCTCCTTAGGAATTATTGAAGAACAACCACAATCACAACCTTTTTCTAAAAAATCAATTGCCTTTTCATATTCATTAGAACCATTATATTTATTACTTTTCATATACACTTATCCCTATATATATAATTTTATGTTCACTTTGTAAGTTTGTAAAATTGAAAAGATGGATTGTAAGGGAAACCATTTTTCTTTACATCAAATATAAGAGACAAGTAGTAAGTAGTGTTAATTTATTAATACAAGTTACTTTTTATCAGTTTGGAAAGCTCATCTTTTTATACAAAATTCATATACATACACAAAGTATTTGATTTGGAAATTAATTTTTGTCACTATATTTGTTAATTAAGAAAATTATTTGGTAAATTTACTTAATGGGAAAGTGAGATTTCGAAGAATCATGAATATTCAGTAATATGTTTAAATAAAAAAAATGGTCATATGCTAACTTGGTTATTTTTTGTTTACTGTGAAATTTCCTTTGAAACTTACATATATTTATGTAAACTGCATTTTTGAAAAAAAAATTTTTAACTCACAAGTTTTTCTCTCTATTCTCAAAAGGAAAAAAAAAAAAAAAGCAAAATTCTATTATAACCATAGTAACTTATTACTGTGCAATGAAATAATTTTAAAATAAAATTCATATGCAAAGTCACGTTCTCAATAAACAAATTTTTTTTTCGTGATATAATTTTTAAATAAACTTTGCAACTAGTTATTAAATCAAGAGAGGAGCATGGTTAATTACGATCTAATCAAGATAACGTCAATATCCAAAAAGATTTACTAGAAGCGACTTAACTCACATAGTAGTTTTTACCTTTTCAAGAGATATCTTTTTATTTATTTTTTATTATTGCTTCTTTAAAAAACACTGTATAATTAGATACGTTATTAAGAGAGTGGGAAGGTTAATTACAATCTCATCAAGATAACTTCAATACTCATGAAGCTTTATTAGTAACGTAGTTTCCTCTAGATATGTATTACTTCAATAATTATTTTCTCTATTTATTAATTAAATATTTATTACAGATAAACTCTACCAATTTTTTATTTCATTTTTTAAATTTAAAAACAAGTTATATATATGTTCTTCGTTTATATTAATTGAATTA